AAAAAAAATAAAAAAAAAAAAAAAAAAAAAAAACCGTAAACTGACTCGCCGATTCACTGTTCGGACTCGCCGATTCCGTACAGTGAATCGGCGAGTCACTGTGCAGAATCATCCGGTTCTCTCTAGAACCGGACGATTTCCGATTTTTCAACCGATCCGGTCCCTTTTCGTGAATTCCGAGTCGAACCGGGCGAGTCCGGTTCGACTCGGCGTTTTTTAAAACGCTGGTTTAAAGCAATGATTTAAAAAATGGATCAATGATCCGGATCGGGCACTTCAAAGATTGGTCCAGGTCGGTGAATCGTCTGTTTGGATCACTTTTTTACTGTACAGAAAAAAATCGTGAACCAAGAAAAAGGCACGTGAAACAAAAGTGAACCGGCAAAAAACCGGTTCAGATTGGTGAATTGACAGTGTGAATCGTCATTTTTATGTAGAGAATCGTTGTTTTATTGTGCAGAACCGCCGGTTCTATTCTAGACTCAATCGTTTTGCTATATATAAGAAAAAGCCAAACGTGATGACCGATTTCTGGGTCAGACCGGACGATTCCATGTCGACCCAGTATTTTTAAAATCACTTGTTTGAATAATGCATCACAATATGCACTATTTTAAGAACAATAAATTATTTATTTCTTTGAAAATTATTTTTAAAAAACTTATATTGAAATAATTTGAAACAATCTCAATGATGGGTTTCCTTTTCATTTTTTAGTAATTAAAATACAAAAAGACTTAAGAAATGCACAGTTTCACTCACCTTGATTTAAAGGCGTGCTTTCATTTCGAGCTTATTTAGTTAACAAATTCTCAAAAAGATATTTTTTTGTCTTCTCTATTCTAAGAAAATTTTGATTTAGTAAGTAAATGGAAGTCATTATTTACCATTCTTAACATATAAACCATAATTTAAAACAAATACAAAGTTTACAAATCACAAATTTGAATGGTTGGCACACAACATGATAAAAAACAAAGGGACATTACGGGAATTCTTAGCTCATTTCTTTGGAAATTGAAACGTGCGAGGAAGAAGAGGATACGAGATCTTCACTTTAGTCGCCATCAACATTTTCTAGACCCTTATTATCGTAAATTTTGTGGCCATTTCGGACATTTATCACGAAATAAGATGCACTTAATCCCTGAAAAGACTTCTATGCCCCACATAGCATGTCTCAGGGAAATGGAAGAATTTAGTCAGCCAGAGATGAGGGTGGCACTGGCAACGGGCCTGGCCCTGGTCCCCATGGGGCCCGGTTCGAAACAAATTAGAAGAAAACAAATAAAAATCTTAAAAACTAAAAATGGTTATTTTTGAAGAAAAATTTTAGACCATTCATTTTTATCTTTTTTTGAAGGGACCACCACTCCAAGCACATCTTTGAGATGGATGTGTAATGCGTTAGGGGATGCAATGTAGTTATGTGTCACCCGGACACATATGAATTAATGATACTTTATAGGATATAGTTTATATAAGGTTTCAACTTTATTTGTAGAAGTAAGATTATGACATTCCATACTACCCATTTTAAATGGATTGTATAGATTGGGTACAGTTGGCATACATATGCATCCGTAGGTGTAGAAGTAAGGTGCACCTTCAAATTTTATCATGATATATAATTTTGATGTAATATGTTTTTAGGATTATCTCAAAATCTATTTTTATATCTCATTATAAAATTTTAAATTTCAAAAATAGTTAAAATCAAGTAGATCTATAAACATATGAAAATCTTGAAAATGGACGGTGTAGATAATATGTTGTAAAATGTACTATTTCTGTGACTTAAAATCTTTTTATTTTTCATAGTCATACATCTCGATGTCGAGATGATCAATCACAAGGTTTTTCAACATTAAAATGACCTTTTCCGATGGATTTTTGAGGGGCATCCGTAGTTCTAGATTATAAGGTAGCATCCTTATATAAACTTTTTTTTGTATAGATTTGATGTCTTTTCAAGTAACATTAAAAAGGTGTGGTTTGTATAGAGCCTAGGCTCTAAACAATCAAATTAGAGCCTACCTTCAAATAGTATCGAGAAATGTGGTTTCAATACTAAAAATATTTGTGACAGTCTTAAAATATATTTTCATCTTTATTTATAAAGTTTAAAGCTTCAAAAATAGTGTAGATAGATAGATCTTATGAAAATCTTGAAAATTGACAGTCCTAAAATACGTTACAAAATACACTATTTCCAAAACTTGAAATCCACTTTTTTTTCATGTCCATGTATCTTGATGTTCAGATGATCAATTTGGGGATATTTGAGCAACAAAACAACCTCTTCTAATGAAATTTTTTATGTAGGCTCAAATTTGATTGTTTAGAGCTTCGGCTCTATGTAAACTTTTTCGATATTAAAAAGTATCACATCTTCTAAGATAGTACTAAATCTATACCATCTAAATATAATAACTGGTGCAAAGTTCTACAAATAAGGTTGTAATATTATAAGAACCTTTTTTTTTAAAAATTTAAATAGTTAATAATAATTGTGACCTCTTATACTAAAAGTAAATAGTCTAATTTACTGTTCATTTCCATTTCAAATAGAGGGTTTTAAGAATAATTTACTAATTTTTAATAAGGGAAATGTGTCAGTGTACCTATCTTATCATTTGTTTAAAATGTTACTCCTTCCCAATTATTCCAACTCAGGATAAATATCTTTTGATGGATTTTCTAAAATAAAATAAAAATTGTCTAAAATGTTATCTAATCGACCTTTTAGGTTCATTTCAATAAATTTTGGGCATCGAGAGAATATTAATGCCATGAAGGGTTCAGGTTTATACATTGTCCCATATGGTACATGTTGAGTACTACCGCAAGAGCACATTGTACACTTACACCCTTTTTTTTCTTTTTTTTCTTTTTTAAATGTTACTGTGCACACTTACCCCCTCATATCAAAGAGCTAGTCAAGGGAATTCTTTTCAAGAGCAAATGAATTACAAATGTTTTTTTTTTAAAAAAAACAAAATTGGTTGGGAGGTTACATCGTAGACAGTAATGAAGTGTATGCCCCTGCGGGAGCATGTAATCTTTTGTCTTCCTCCCTAACATTTCAATATTGGAACTTCCTAACATGAGTAATTTAGTTTTTTGTAGCATAAAGGGAGAGACCTTTTGCTGGGAAGGCGGTGACAAAGTGTGCCTTTCGGCTGAACTCGTGGTACCTATTTGGAGTCCCAAATCACTCCCAAATAAAATAATAAATAAACACAGAAATAAGAGCCAAAAACCAATAATATTTTATCAGTCTAAGATTTAATACTGTCACTA